ACTTCTCATATTGGCATTTGCAATACCATGTGATGTTCATATTTATAGGAATTCAATTGAAATTTAACTTTAATTATTAATGTTTAACATGTAATACTTTCTATGCATGAGTTAATTCAACAATATTGAACTCTTTGAATTGATTACCAATGCATAAACATCCTCTTCTTCATTCTAAAGTATTATCAAGCCAGTAAAAAAAAAAATTCAAAACTCACAAATTATAATCTTCCTCAAAAAGGTAATAAGCATACCCATTATTTGATTATTGAAACAGTTATATGTCAACTATTGTGAGAGTGGAATAATCATCTAAAAATGAAACCAATATCCAAGGAAGGAGCAATAAAAATTTTAGGCACCGATTGACCACCTCTACAACTAATAGTGTACTCAGCTCATCTCCAAATTATCAGCCAAAGTGGACCGTCGGAACTGTGCTTGCGTATACGATCTCTGAAAATCTTAAAATCCATATTCCACCACTATAACATGAAAAACATGCAAGAAACAAAGTAAGAATTTTATCTTCCAATTATCAGCGAAAGTGGACCGTCGGAACTCCTGTCAGAGAGGAATGCAAGAAAATTTGCTTATAAAAATTCCAAACAATATTGATAGATAGAAAGATGTTCCAAAAATGAATTCAACAAACACTTGAGGGTAGGGAACATCAAAGAAGCACACAACTTGTGAGTGAAATCAACATTAACGTCAATGTTAGCTATCAAAGAGTCAAACAAGTAGAAGGCGCTATGAGTGGAAAAGGGGAAATATGCCAATGCCCAAAAAATGATTGTGTAATTCAATGCGTAAAACAAAAGGCTTGAGCATTACTAACCTTTACCATTAAACTAACAGATATTGTGAGGGAAAGGACAGTTTTTGAGTCAGTATAACATGGGTGCCCTAGTGCTATTCACATGCAAGGATGAATTAACGTGTGGGATGCTTACCGGGAACTCAAATACTGCGCTTGTTAGGTAGATTCGATAAGTGGTGAAAAAGGCATCAAATAAGAAACCGCTGGGGAGGGCAAGGAGGAAGACCGTTCCTATGAAATTGGTGATCGTTGGCCAATTTTGAAGGAGATAAGTGCATGTACTGCTTCAGGTATAACACCAGATTGCTTGCATCGGCCAAATATGCCAGATTCTGCAATATCTCCACCACTGCACAACACAGATTCACCACACGCGCAATGCATGGAATCAGCGCAAGATATATATACGAGATGTTAATCTTTTTTCAACTAACACTTGGAAGGCAATGCAATCTCTAATCAACCGACGAACTTGTTCGCTTCATAAGCTATGGATGCACAATTCTATTGACATCGAAAAACAGAGGTGCATAAAACAAGAACAATAAGAGCTAACAACTAGTAATGAAATTAATCAGGGACAGACCCCATGGCAAATGAAAACAAAGGTGGAGGTGAGCGAGACTTGTGAGCTCAATGGAAGTAGCGAAGATAATATATCCGTGAGAGGAGGGAAGCTAAGGTTTCCTTCAAATGGAGGGATACACATCTGCTTCACCAAGCTCTGCAGAAAAACGGAGAAAGGTTCTGAAGAGAAAAATAAAAAGCACATGTTATTTGAAAAGCATAAGAGAACACGGGGTTGGAGGATGCTGGCTCAATAACAGGCCTTGCGTGTAGAATAGACCGAAAGATTAAAAAAAGAAAGCAAAAAAACCACACAAAATCAGAACACATAAGCTTTTTTAAAGGAATTTGCACGCAGCCCAATATTTTAGCCAACACTGTAGTAGAAGCCGGCATTATTCCTTTCAACAGTGATTCACTGATTTCTGAGACGAGCCATCAAGAAGTCATGAAAAGCATTGGCTTGAGTCATTTTGTTTTATTAGATATAAATATTGATATGTAATTTATAAAAGTTAATATAGATAACAATTAACTTTTTAATCATCTGATTCAAACTGAAAATAACGAATATTGGCTTCTTTAAATAAAGTAGAGGAAGGCGCAGGCCTATCCTACAAATTAACTATCTCCACCTCGTAGCTTTTAAGCTCCTGATTTTTGGAAGTAAGGACTTTTTATTTCTTTTCTTTCCATTTCCCTTCACTTCAACTATCCCTATTATTCATTAATTTTATCATTTAAAAAAATTATTTAATAAAAAAATTTGAATGGTGAAGATGGAAGAAGTGGAAGAAAAGGAAGGGAAAAAAATGGAGACACCTCTGGTCTTGATCTTCCATCTCATCTCAAGGCCCTTCCATCCCAATGCTCCCCTTCTTTTCATATTACTCACTTCATTACAAAAATATAAAATATTTTTAATTAAATATTATTTTTTAATAAAACAGTTACTTATTTTTAAATTAATTTTATCTTTTTATATTTACTCTTGTTTAATAAATATTTTTAAAATAAATAATTACATCTTGAAATATTAAAAATATCTTACATTTTTTAACATTCAACTTCTCAAAAAATATATTATATTTTTAAATGGAGGGAATATATATTAGTCCCTTGCTAGAATCATGGTACAAATTTTTTTAGAAGAAGTCTTGGTTATTTTAAAATATAAGAGTAACTTTTATAATTAATTTTTTTAACTATATCCTTACTTTTTTTTAATTATTTTTTAATACATAATGCATTAAAATTTTATATAAAAATGTATTTGATTAAAAACTTCAACTTAAAAAAAATCTTGTCAAACAAAAACCTAACGGAATAAAAAAGTACATTATTTATTTATATATTATTTAATGTTGTTCCATTAAAAACTTTTTTAGGACAATATTAAGAAAAAAAAATACAGTGCATATTTACTTCCCGAGATGACAATATCACTTTTAAATTATTGTACTTTAAAATAATATACCAAATTTTTAAATGTGACTGTTATTAATATTTTTTCAAGCTAATCTTATTTTTGGTCTAATCATACTAGAAGCATTGTTATCATATCCATAATTTTTGAAAATATATTTCTCTACCATGTCTTCAAGATATAACACTTGCAAAATTAATGACAATAAATTTAAACACTGGTATTAATAACAATTGCAAAAATGTTAAACATTAATATTAAATAACTAAAATTTAACAATAAATATATTTCTCTAACATGTCTTTAAGATATAACACTTGTAAAAATGTAAAACATTTTTTAAGGAGTTTGAATATTAAAAATATAATATATTTTTTGAGTTTCAAACTGTAATTAATATGTTTTTTCTAAAAAAGCCCCTAAGAAATATATTATTTTATATTTATTTTAAAGTAAAATATTTTAATAAATAAAAGTAAATACAAAGAGATTATATTAGTTTGAAGATAAGTAATTATTTTATTAATAGTGTGATTCTATTAAAAATACTTTACAATTTTAAATGAAGATAATATATTTTTTAACATTCAAATATTAAAAACAGATGCATTATGTAAAAAGATATACTTCCTCCCTTAACATTTTTTAATAAGTTTGATATTTAAAAATATAAAGTATTTTTAATTTTTTAAAATATAATCATTACCTTTTTTAAAAAAGTACCTTTATTAATCGTGATTTTATATTTATTATAGGGTATTTAATAAAAATAAATATAAAAAATAAATTTAATTTAAAAATAATTAATTATTCTGTTAAGAATTAAGATTTAATTAAAAATATTTTATATTTTTAAATAGAAAAGTAATATTTATTAATATCAAAACAAGGACGCAACGGATCCCACAACCTCCTCTCCTCCACTAACAGCTCCCATGTCCTTCCTTTCGGTCTCTTCCAACCCCATGTTTCTCCTTTCCATATTATATGTTAGTAATATAAAATAATTTCCATGCATGTATTATTTATTAATATTTATAAAATATAAACTTATATAATAAATGAGTTAACATTATTCATATATATTATATAATATAATATCATGGGAGTCAGTAGAACAACTACAATAAATAGATAATTTATTTTTGGATGTTTAGAGAAAAATATTTAAACTAGCCGACAAAATATTGATCCTTTTAGGTAAATTTGTGTTCCATTTTCTTGGTTGAAATTCATTTTTACGTTCTATTAACTCCATCACAGCTTTTGCGAGGTGGGAACTACATCAGTTGAAGACAAACAAGGACCAAATGTCAATATAGTTTAAGTGAAGTTTTATGCAGTCAATTGCAATGTTAAAAGGAACAAGTGAAGATTTTGTTATGTAGAAATCAAAAAATATCAAGTAATATTAATATAAAGTACAAAGAAATTTTTCAGAATTTTTAACCTTCTAATCTTTTTATTTGTCTGACATGAAAAAAGTCAGCATATTTTATTATTAACATTTTGAAGCATGAAATTTACCTCACAGTCATTAATTTTGTCTATTATTTTGTCACATTTTATAATTTTTTTATCAACATAATGCAAAGTGTGTTTTATTAACAAGTATGATGAAATGTTGCACGGGATTGTGGCTAATTGGTATAGCAGTTGGCTTTGCTCCTTTAACCCTTCGCTCTACTGCAGCTCCTCCCACTTAGGGAGGAGATCTGGATCATTAATCTGAATGGCACAGATATAATATTTTAATTTTAATTTTAATTTTATATTTATTAAAATAAAATATTTATAAAATTTATAAATTTTTTAATAAATCTAATTATCAATTTAGACATTTTACATTTGTATTAGGAAAATAAAAAATTATAAAAAATTTAATATTAAATTTTCACTATTCAAAATACATAAGAATGGTTACTTTATAAAAATTATAAAAATTTTTAATATTACATTAAACTGTTCAGATTAAATTAATAGTATTCAAATTGATAATAAATAAATTTATTAAATTTTTTTATAATTTTTTATTTTATCAATACAAATGTAAACTGTTTAAATTGGTGATTAAATTTATTAAATTTTTTTATAAATTTTATAAATATTTTATTTTAATGAATATAAAATTAAAATTAAAATTAAAATTAAAATATTAAATATGAACCATCTGGACGGTTCAGATCCTGCAGCGGAGCGAGGAGGCGGAGGAGCAAAGCCGAATTAGCTCCCCAAAACGATCGTGTTTCCTCCTGCTTCCAGACCCTCGACCCGATGTGCTCGCTGTCGTTGGCTCTTCTAGCCGTTGTCATGTCACCGTTGTGTTTCCGTCGAGCGTTCTCCGGTGAGTTCCCTTTTTCTGCTACCCTCTCATCTGGCCGTCGTCATCACTGAACCTCTGTTTTGTTTTCCATCAAGCTAGCGTCATCTCGGCTATTCTCTTTGCAGATCCATTTCTGTTCTTTCTTTATTTCTCGGTTAATTTCTGGGCCATCTCGCCGCTGTTCATCTGCATGTTGCTTCGAGCAAACTAACAAAATTCAGACTTTTAACTTATTGTTGCGAGTTTGCATTGCCTGAGGGAGGTTTTCTCATAGTTCAATAAAAAGGTTTGTGTGTTGATGCCCCGTATTACATGTTTATTTTTTTTAAAAAAGAAATGATTTGGTTCAATGCAAGTTGAGTAAGCTAAGATGATGTAATGAATAATTTGGGTCCTGAGCAACTGGAGATTGACACTGTTAGAGAGGCTCGCCATTAGGTGCATGGATGATGAGAAAGGAGGTGGTTACTGTCTTTAAAGATGTCGTGGGAATGAACATCTCTGATAAACTATGCATTTCCCTGTTGAGCAAGTGCAGGAATCTGAAATCGGTCAAGCAAATTCACGCCTTTTTCTTCAAAAATGGCCTTCACAACGATCCCTTTGTCGCCGGCAAGTTCCTTCTCCATTGCGCCGTTTCCATCTCTGATTCTCTCCACTACGCTCACCGTCTCTTCCTACACTTCCCGACCCCTGATGTTTTCATGTACAACACCCTCATCCGAGGACTCGCTGAGTCTGAATCTCCTCACAGCTCTCTACAACTTTTCATCCAAATGCGTCAACAATCCAGATTCCTCCCCGATAGTTTCTCTTTCGCCTTTATTCTCAAGGGGGTCGCTAATTGGAGGGATCTAAAATCTGGGATGCAATTACACGGTCAATCTTTGTGCTTTGGGTTGAACACTCATATCTTCGTGGGGACAACTCTGATTAGCATGTATGCAGAATGTGGGAACTTAGCATTTGCTACTATGGTGTTTGAGGAAATGTGGCAGCCAAATGTTGTTACTTGGAATGCTGTTGTTACTGCTTGTTTTAGGTGTGGGGATGTGGAGGGTGCCCAAAATATGTTTAAACAGATGCCTATTCGGAATTTGACTTCATGGAATGTGATGCTTGCTGGTTACACCAAAGCAGGTGAGCTTGAGTTAGCGAGACTAGTATTTTCTGAAATGCCTATGAAAGATGATGTTTCTTGGAGCACTATGATTGTTGGGTTTGCTCAAAATGGTTATTTTGACGAGGCTTTTGGATTTTTCAGGGAGTTGCAGCGGGGAGTCAGACTGAATGAGGTGAGCTTGACAGGGGTCCTTTCAGCATGTGCACAAGCTGGGGCTTTTGAATTTGGGAAGATTTTACATGGATTTATACAGAAAGCTGGGTTTCTTCAGATTGTTTCAGTGAGCAATGCTATGATAGATACATATTCAAAATGTGGAAATGTAGTTATGGCTAGGTTGGTCTTTCAAAGCATGCAAGAGGGGAGAAGCATTGTGTCTTGGACATCCATGCTTGCAGGACTTGCTATGCAAGGTCATGGAGAAGAGGCAATACAACTTTTTCATGAAATGGAAGAGTCTGGTATTCAGCCAGATAGGATCACCTTCATTTCTCTTTTATATGCTTGCAGTCATGCGGGCTTGGTTGAGCAAGGGAGTGCTTATTTTTCTAAGATGCTAAGTGTGTACAGCATTGAACCTGCCATGGAGCATTATGGTTGTATGGTTGATCTTTATGGTCGGGCGGGAAAGTTGCAGAAGGCCTATGAGTTTGTATGTCAAATGCCAATTAAACCTAATTCAATCATTTGGAGGACTCTCCTTGGAGCTTGTAGCATTCATGGCAATGTTGAGTTGGCAGAACTGGTAAAAGCAAGGCTCGCTGAATTGGATCCCAACAATTCTGGTGATCATGTTCTTCTCTCGAACATATATGCCATTGCTGGAAAATGGAAGGATGTTGCCAAAATAAGAAGATCAATGGCTGAACAGAGCATAAAAAAATCTCCTGGCTGGAGCATGATTGAAATTGACAAGGTCATTTATAGTTTTGTAGCTGGTGAAAAGCCTACTGAATTTACAGATGAGGCTCATAGTAAACTTCACGAGATAGTGTGGAGGCTCAGAGCAGAAGTAGGTTACGTCCCACATGTAATAGGTGTATTGCATGATATTGAGGAAGAGGAAAAAGAAGATTCGGTGTCTAAGCACAGTGAGAAGCTTGCTGTGGCATTTGGAATAGCGAAACTTCCCAGGGGAAAGATCATAAGAATAGTGAAAAACCTGAGGGTTTGCAGTGACTGTCATACAGTAATGAAGTTGATTTCTAAAGTTTATGAGGTAGAGATCATTGTGAGGGATAGAAGTCGCTTCCACTCATTCAACGATGGGCTTTGCTCTTGTAGGGATTACTGGTGAATGGTGATGGACCACTATTGCAAAAACCTGTATTCCAATTTACTTCCTGTGAATGAAGTTGACTTTATTTTTCTATGCTTGCTTCACGTCAAATGCCGATGTCAATTCAATTTATGAAGGACTTATCCTCGGGGGTTTGTATATTCAATAACAATGCAACGGCATTGTGAGTTGAGTACAGAACTGCTGAAAGCGATGCTTACCGAACCATACAAACAATTCTGGTGGGTGTTGGCCACTTGGCCATGTATTTCCCTCAAATTCTGGTTGAAATATGATTGAACTTGACAAGGTCATGGATGGCTCAGTGGCGTGTGATGAGGCGCAAGAGGAGGCTCTTACTTTTACTCAACAAACTGAGGGAAATACTGTAGTTACCTGGCACTTGAGCATGTTATGTACCAAGCATGCAGCAGTGTTTGCACGAACTTAAGGGTCTGCAGGGACTGCGGCGCAGTGACGATGTTGATTTCTTTAGCTTATTTGGTATAAATTCATTATTGTGAGAGAGAGAAATCTTCCGCTGCTTCAAAGGAAGAAGGGTGCTTTGTGGCTATCAGCTGTTTTACCTTGAGCCCTCTATCCTTTGGAATGGAGAGTAAATTATTATATTTAAGGAGCTAATTGCTTTGAGAATGAAATGAATTAAAAAATCAGAATAAAATGAATTAAATCACTCTCCTTATATAATTAAGTATGATAAAACTTAGGGATAATAAAAATTTCAATCCTTTAAGTTTGTCTAAATTATTATTTGGTTCCTCTAGTTTAATTTTTATTAATTTGATCTCATATGTTTTCTTAAATTATCATGTGAGTTTTTTAAATTTTAAACGTATTAACTGTCAAAATAGTATAACGTGTAAAGTATATTAATTTTTCATGTATATGTCGCTATATGAGGACTAATTAACTCTTGAATGAGTTTACTTTTTATCAATACCCTTACAATGTGTTTTGTTTTATTGTTTTTAAAATGTTCAGAGTCTGTTTTTTTGTCATACCTAAATAATTATACTTATTTTTATTAATTTATATCACTATCATCAATATTCTATTATCATAGTTAGTAAATTTTAATTGTGCAATTTCTTCTATTTAAATAATAAAGATTAAATTGATAATGAGAGTAAACTTGAGGGATTCAAATGATATAAATTAAATTTAAAAGATTAAATTAATAATTGAGATAGATATGAGGGAGTAAAAGTTATAAAAATTATTATTTCCTTAATAAACAGGATTGACTAATCTCTCAATTACATCCTGATCAATTATTTTTATTTTTTTAATTCAGTTTATTCTTTTTCTTTTCCATGACTAAACGGTACCTAAGTTATAAAGAATTGAGAGGTGGACAACACAGTGCTAATTGCATCAAGATTGGCGGGCTTGAAGATATTCTTGAACTATTTTATTAAATTAAAAATCTTTTTAATGTCACATCAATACCACGTTTCACATGTTAACTATACTTTTTTTATTAAAAAATATAAAATATTTTTAATCGAATCATATTTCTCAATAAAATAATTATTTATTTTTTTAACTAGTTTTATATTTTTATATTTATTCTTATAAAATATTCTATAATAAATATAAAATTATTATCAATAAGGATATTTTAAAAAAAAAATAATGATTACACTTTGAAAGATTAAAAATACTTTATATTTTTAAATATCCAATTTTTTAAAAAATACTTTACATTTTTAAACAAAAAGAGTAAAATTTAACTAATTATAATATAAACCTTTTGTGTTCAACAAAAAATTAATATTTCCATTCATCTTTCTTTCCCTTTTTTATCTGGTTAATCTCTTTATAAAAACAGGATGCTAACTGCTAGCTGCATCACTGAAGATTGACGTGTTCGAAGGTATTATAATGTATTTCCGCTGAGTCATCGAAATTTATAGAGAAGAATTTGCCTAAGAAAAAGACCTAACTCATGAATATAAACTGTTATTAAAAAAAAAGAAAACACAGAGAGAGAATGAAAGCTCGAAATAATCCGAATTCAAGGCGGGTCAGACCCCAAGCAGGAGGTAACCCTCCAAACACATCATTTTCATCATCACTACTCCAAAGATTGAATTCAGGCGTTGAAAGTTAAGAGACACGCTTTCGTTTGAGCCAGCATCGTGAGTTTGTTCAAGTTACTTTCTTTTCTCATAGACATGGATCCATGAGTAGAGAAATAATAGAAAAAAAATTTGACAGAATGCTAATTGACGTGTTCGAAAACACTTTTTTATTCGAATAATACTGAAATTCATTAAAGAAACACGAGAGGTACGGTCGACCAATAAAGACACAAAAGGTTGTCCTCTTTCACCCTCTTCCACTTCTTAACCTGTAAATACATGATGATCATGTTGGTACTGGTAAATAAAATTATAGTCTAAATTGTCTTTAAAAATAATGTTTTTAAAAATTATTTTATCACACTAGGTTGATTGTATAGTAACTTTTTAGGATTAAATAAACTCTTCCTATAAATAAAGAGGGACACAAAATAACAAAAATTCTCAAAATAACTTAGGTTACACCAACACTGATGAAGCACTGAAAGAGAAGAGAGAAAGCCCATCTTTGGCTCTCCACAAGTATGTGGCAAGCATTGACTTTTATAGACAGATTTTATAATGCATGTAATAAAAACACCTTAATTATAATTAAAAAATCCGTTATAAAAATGATGAAGTTAAATAAATAGATTTAAATAGGGGTTTATAGTATTCAATATTATTATAATAATTTCTTTTGAAATACTTATAAAAATTTTATAATATCGAACAATTTTTCACATATTTCAAAAGGAAGTAAAATTTTAGGAAAAATATTTTATACAGATAATTTTGTAACTTTGCAAAATAGTTCTCAAAATTTCAAGAAATGGCCCAGTGCAGCAACTAACTCACTACACATAGTTGTATGCATGAATTCACTTCTCTTCTAAACCCATTTACTAACTCAAGTTTACACCTTGGCATAAGGCCACCATTCTTTTAAGCAACATGGGGCTTTTCTTTTTAACACAATTACAACAATCCTCCACATGTGTCAAAAGGACCACTATCATTAGAGCTATTCACATGAAAGATAATCACTTCAAATTTTGTATCTTTTGACTTGAACCAAATCTAAATTAATAAAACTTAACACACATAAAAGTTAGTGTAATTTTATTATTGAACCAATAGATCTTAGTCTTGTACTAGAGGTCTTATTAGTCGAATTATACCCCCATAATTTTTGTTGTTAACAATGATTTTGAGTGTTACTGGTCATGCACATGCCTAGTTTTAACAAATGCTTTAAAAATTTTGTCACTATCTCATACGAGCAACCTTGCTCCATATTTGTGTAGGTGATTTCATCAAGTATATCTGCAATAAATACACTATCTAAAAGGACTATGAAAATCATTATGAGCTTTTGTGTAGCCTCTGATTAATGCATTCTAGTACTTTCTCAAGTCATAAGAAAGGACAAAATATTTAGTACTAGCAGAACTAACAAGTGACGTGTTCTTACTTATTGAACCTTTTTCATGGAATTTTCAATCACAAAAGTTGGGTTGTCATCATCATTAATTTTAAATAGGCTTAAGTTTCATTCCCCTTGATATTTTAATAATTAATCTTTTCCCCAAGGGTTTATTAACAGATCCATCAAATTTACATCTGATCTCATATAATTGATTGAGATAACTCTCTCTTTTTTTTAGCATGTTTAATTGTATCTCAAATAATATTTACCAATGTCATTGTTCTCTTTGCAATGACTATTGCCATGGCTTGTGTCGATTTTACTTACAATAGAATATTCATTGAGAAGTTTCTTAACTACTTAGCCTCATTATTAGTCAACTTCATATTAATAAACTTTGGCTCAAATAACATTTTATTTGGCTGCAAGTGAATTTTTCCTTTTGTGAATATAAAATTCAGTTAACATCATTATATTATTTTAATACAATGAGAATCCATTATACATGATATCAACATTTATAATTTCTCTCAAACACTTATTTGTCTTATCCTCTTATGAAACTATACTTGATATACTCAATGTCCACATAATATATATCATGGGATTAACATAGATTAATGCAACAAGCTCTCAAAAATTTGTTCATGCATGCGTACATAGATTGAGCAACAAGATCATCCCATTTTCTTTTGTTTTTTTTTTTGGTATCATGTTTGTATCATAGGAATGCTCATCAATACTAAGTATCAGATTTATATCAAAACAATTGCTAAAGAGACTTTCCACAACATAGCCTCCAATCAAAGTAATAAACTCTATAGTCCTATTATTATATTTGTTTTTATCACCACTAAAGGTGGATAATTACTAGTAAATCTTCTCATATGAATATATAATTCAATTAATATTCGTGTATGAAAACACAGGGGATCCACTATTCATAATCTTATAATTCAAAAAATATTATATTTATCTCATATGAACTATAACACATAAATAAATCGTTATTCACAATCACCAAAATGAATGTTCACGCTAAGACAATTAAAATAAGCCATGCTCCTATTTTGAATTACATTTATCTACACCAAATAAATGATTAAATTTTATGCCACCACCACAATGCTTGTTCAAGCCACACAAAATTTCAAACTTTGCCCTCATGCAAATAATAACCTTTTCTTAATTAATTTACCTCCCTAAATCACAACATAAAAACATTTTACCATTTATAAAATGAGGCTAATAATCTGGTATAATACATATTTTCTTTTGTAATGGTTTTGCAAGATATCATCATACTTTTAAATATTTCAATCACAAAAAATAGTTTCACACCTTATCAAAAATAATTTTAATTAAATTAGAAGCAACGTCACCACATAATATTGTGTACATAGGATAAAACTATCCAGTGCCAATAGAAACAAGCTCAAATTTCAAAGACTCAATAACTTTGAAATCAGACCTATTCCCAATATCGTTCGTAAAATATTAAATAGTGTCGGGATACAGCACCTTCATGCCCAATGGAACTCATTAATTATATATTGGCATAAAAATCCAATGGCATTTCCAAAACAAATTCAAGGCAAGAAGTAATGTGTTTATCTCATTTCCTTATTTTTATATTTTAAACCCAAACAGATTTAATGCATATAAATTACTGTCACTATAATGCAGTCAAGCAATTATAAACTCACAATAATTCCAAATTACTTTGCTGTTCATTGCAATATTTCTAAACAATTAACCTTACTATAAACTCTTATTAACATGTATATCAAAAATAACTCACCGCCATAAATACAGCACATAAGTTGATCACTCTAAACATATTTCAAAATGGCTATATGACATATTAACACCATTTAAAAATTGATATCTCATCAATGCTCCTTATTTATAACAGTCATAGAACTTATGGCAAATAATTCATCAAGAAAAACTCGTTAGCTGCACCATTAAGAAACAATTTATTTTCATAGAAAATTGCAATTTCAATTGCAATCAATTAATGAAAACCAACCATCAAACCTTGATTAATGCTATTTAATTGCATTTTTAAAAATAACTGACAAAAGGTTTTAAAGACAAATAAACCATCATAATTGGAGTTCATCAACCATAATAAATGCCACTTTTAGTGGACAAACCCAAGTTCCA